AGGTCAAAGCAAAAAAAAACCCCAAAACAACAAAGCAAAATCAACCACCCTCAAAGAAAACAAACAAAAAAGCAAACCTTGACAACTACTGTCAACTGCTTTCTAAATGTGGCCGTAGAACTGAAGACTATGCAGGCCATATAGATATGGTCATAACAGGGGTATGGGCCCAAATTTAAACACGGGAATTGGAATTCTGTATTTCCAAGAAGGTAGAACAAGCTTAAGAAAGTAGTTTAATTTCAAATTTGCATTCCTGTAAACATGTTAATTCCCTATAATCATAGTTCTTCCTATAGCATCTATAAAACACCTATAAAATATTTTATGGACATTTTATATACATGCATTCTTTGCATTAGTATGTACACACATTTCAAAACGTTTTGCATTGTGCAGAATTAACACAGAGCTATCCAGAACATGTTGTCATATTCACAGAGCAAGACAAACAATTCTTGGTGTTAAATACACAAACCTGGTCAGACTGAAACCAACAGCAAAATTTCAAATTATATCATTGGGGTCAGGATTTGATCCAAAATAAGGACTTTGAACTAGGAAACAGGAAGAAGTACACAGTAATGACAGAATGGACTAACCCTTCCTCTCCCAAAAATACACAACCACAACACCACAAGGATTGTTCACACTTTTCCACAATAAATATTTTAGGGGTGTCACCTTTTTTCCTGGATCTTTTTTCGCTACCCACTGCAATCTCTAGCACTCTTTCAATTTATTCACTGTACAATTAAGAAGAAAAAACCCCACCACTCTCATTATTTCACAGTAGAGCACCATCACTACATCTGACATGGATTTACTCCCCAAAGAGAATAGAAATGTAACCATGCAAATTATTTCTCTAGTTTGTCTGCAAGTGCCGTAACATACATTGCAATCACCATGTTTAACTACTTTATCTAATATACAGCATAAAAACAATTCAGTGAATGTACCATAAGGTTTCTAGAGTTTGCAAAAATCCACTTCCAGTACATCTCACTGAAAACTGGAAAATGAGCAGTTATTTATTTATCCATGTAACCGCAGCATCTCCAAAATTTTCTTTGGTACCATTTCTAACTCTGAGGCACCAGCTCCTCTGGGATTGCTTCTTCAGAAGTGGATCTTCCTTTTATGGAAAATGCCAGAAACAAGATTACAGTAAGTCAGATTTAGTATTAACCGGATCCCTCTTTGCTTTCTGCCTCTCTTCATTTTTATTCTTGACCTTATTATGGTACAGATTGGAATTCTGTATTTCCAAGAAGGTAGAACAAGCTTAAGAAAGTAGTTTAATTTCAAATTTGCAATCCTGTAAACATGTTAATTCCCTATAATCATAATTCTTTCTATAGCATCTATAGGATGTTACAGACACTAAAAGTTCAAATCCTTCAGAGGCTGTATAAATCAGTTCAAAATTTCATCCTCATTCTTTAAATTAACAGTAGAAACTTTACTGAAATCCATGGGGCCGGAAAGTCACTTGCAAGTGCACTTTCTGGTTCCTTCAGAGCTATCGCCTGGCTGTGATAACAATTCATCCCTGGTAATACCAGTAAATTTATGGATCATTACGAAGACAGATAGGAGCTGCGCTGCTGCGGTTCATTTGACTTTCTAAAACTTAATCCTGGGAACAGGGGCACACAGCAGCTACACTGCTAAAGGCATTCAAACCTAGAACCATGCCTGGCTCCCGGCCAAGAGGCAGGGAGTACACTGGCTGGTGAAATAAAATAGCTTGCATCTCTCCCACCCAGATCTAGAGCAGTGTGGGGTAGATCAGTATGTCCCCACTACGTAGCGTTTGGTTCAGAGGTCCTATGGACACTCAGACATAGTTTTTTGTGTGTTTTCAGTCACGCATACTCAAAACTACAAGAAGACCACGTTGCCACCGAGTGGAGTGGCATTTTCGTAGATTCAGCCGAAAGGTGTATTTGTGTGCCGCAGGGTGTGTGACACAGCAGCATCAGAGAGGTGTTCATGAAGGTATGGGGACTGATGGGGTACCAGTGAAGGACACCGGATCTGAGGCACTTTGGACAAGACTGAGCATACAGAGTGCTGTCTGGAGGCAGCTACCTGCAACAGCATAGCCAACTTCTCTCTTGGAGGAAATTCTTGTTTCTCTCTAGAAAAGAGCTGTGGTATGTCCACTTTGTGTAGTCCAATTTGGTTTCCAGTTTGTTTCCAGTTACAAACCCAACCGTGTTTTGACCAATGACATTACTTTATAGCTTAGGTTCTGCCTTTAGAGACTTCTTTTCTGCTCCTTAGCAATTATATCACACTTGGATTATCTAAAGTGCCTCATCCAACAGTTCTCCGACTTGCATACCCCACAGACTTTCGCAGCACATTCCTTCCATAAAGAAGTTGATCAGAAATTCTCTTCTTGCCATGAAACAGCTGACCACATTAGAAGAAATGCACTGAAAGAGAAAACTATTTTATTTCTTTTATTTTCCTATGGAAGGCTCCTTTAAGGCTTTCTCTTATAGTGTCAAAAGAATATGACCACATTTTCATAGAGTTATGTGGAAATTCATGCTCAGGAATTTTAAATTTAAAAAAGAATAATCCCCATTAATTTGTGAAACTCTTGCACAGACTGAAACAAAACACTGCAGAAGCCCAGATAAAAAACTTATTAAAAGCTGCTCTGCTGTTGACTCTGACTTGTCTCACAGATACAGCCTTGAAGCTATGAGCCAAAAAGCTGTGGAGTTTTACATAACTAGAGGTGCTAACTTTGCAAAAGTATATCCATGTGCTTGCCCATATAACTACCCATACCGCACAGAAGTTAAACATGAACAAAAGTGCATGCAGGACCAGGGCCTTAGTGAACCATTGCAATCCCTCGACGGTGCTCTGCACAGCGTGTGCTGCTTTGCCTTGGAAGCCAGGACTTTGCAGCCGACTGTAACAAACACAACTTTTGACATGCACAAGAAAAAAACCACGACATGGTTTGTACAGTTTGTGCAGCTCCGATGGGATTTGAGAAGATGTACTAGTATTCATAAAAGGATTCATCAAGTGCCAGCAAGAATCTTTCCTATGTCAAGATAAATAAAGTAATTAGCACTTTAGTGGTTCTGAGATGTGGTTCTGAGAATAAAAATCCAGGTTACCACAAAAAAATAAAATTAGTGCAATCTATGTGCTAATCTACATAAGATGATC